CAAGAGGAGCAGATCTGTTTTGAAATACCAATGGCTGTTGCTGGCTTGACTTCTTTAGCTAAATCCTAAACTGAAATAAAAAAAAAAAAACGTGAATTAACAGTGGTCAGAATCCAGAAGAATTAATATTTCATTAGTTCTTCCAATTTTGACATCAGTATTTCTCAGATACAAGGTTGGGTATTCACACTGCTAGCACTAGTTCCTGAATGGGAGCCTAGATTACCTATCTCTGATTGGATATAAGGAAAAACTTTTTCCCCCTGAGTGTGGTCAAACATTGGAACAAGTTGCCTAGAAAGGTTGTGGAGTCTCCATCTTTGGAAACATTCAAAACCCAGCTGGACACAGTTCTGGGCAACCTGCTGTACCTGACCATGCTTTGTGCAGGAGGCTGGACTAGAGGCCTCCAGAGTCCCTTCCAACATCAGCAATTCCATAATTCCTGATGTGTTCCAGAGGTTTGATGAATTCATCTCTCTTTTCCCTGACAACATGCTGTTGCTTACTCATAGAGTCTGCAATCTGAGAAACAGGGCACAGACTTAGTGCCAAAGTCCAGTCAGGGATCTGAAATCCTTTTCTTCTGACAGGTCTAATCTGAACACAATCAAGACACCCAAGAGATTTCTAACAAAACACATGGATAGTGACTTTCCTTCTAAAACAAGGAAACCCGTTTTCGTAGTAACAAAGTTTCTAGAATACCCACTGTGAAGATGTGAGTTCAGTTTCTTTCTTAGCCTACACAAGGTCAAATTCCCATCTTCTCAATTCCCCAAACTGCATTCTGAGCAGCAGGCTGTAAGGCAGTTTGGAGTAAAGACATTTCTTTCTTTGTTAACATGCTCCACCAAGTTTTATCTGACATCCTTTAACATAAAATTCATGTGGGTGTTTGGCCCAGGGTCTATAACTGAGCTCCCTCGCTCCAGGTAAGTGCCTGGATCACGAGGCTGCAACACACCCTTTTTTGTACATGAAGTCCTTCTCTTGTACTCAGCCCATCCCAGGCAACCTGTGAGTGTTTCATTGAAATGCCATGAGTTACAAAAAGAGGAGGAGAGCATGCCAGTTTATTTGTCAGCCCTAAGTCTTTTCCTTCCCGAGCACTCCCAACTGTTATTGATTAGAAGGTGAGCAGTAACATCTCCCACTTCCACAGCCATTTCATCATGGAAGGAAAGAATAAGGCTGCTCAGTTCTTTGAAAAAAAAAAGATAAATCTCAATTTGTTCTTCAGAAGATAGTTTTAGGCTGTGAATGGGAAATGAAGAAGGGCCTTTCTGCTGCCTGTAATGAGATAGAATAAACCAAAGAAAGGAGAAGCATTTGAGATTTTTCTTCATGCTTTGCATTTTGGTTGCTAACTAAAGGGACGTTTTGATTCCTTTTGGATGCTACTCTGAAGGAGCTAACTCTCCTAAATACCTTTATGGGGAATTTAGGGCCCTACCAAAGGTTCTGGAGTTCACTGTCAGGATCAGCTCGATAAAATGTAGGAAGTTTTAGGTACCAGGTGCTTTAATAAAATTGGCCCTAGGTGGCCAATGTGAGAACCACACTGAATTAGAGTTCACACTGAATCAGTAGCATAACAATTAAAAGATCCCAAATTTCCTGAACCTGGTCGTGCTCCTCACAGCAACAGCGCATGAAATTTATGAAAGAAACTCATTATTTTCGGTAGTAGTTACAACCAAATCAGCAGCCGGTTACAAAACTAAATGAAAAGATCCAGACCTTGTCAGCTCGTTGTTCTTACAAAAGGAAATTCATATGGTAATATGCAGTCTAGCTCCTCTGTGGATAGAAAATGCATATACAAGGATTCATGTTAACTTCTAGAACAGGAGGAAAGCCTTTTTAGACATTATAAATATCAGCACTCATCAGTATATGCAAGTAGATAATTAGGGTAATTATTCCCAATTAGCAGCTGCAAGCCTTGCAGATGGGAATTTCAGGGGCTGGTAACTGTTGTAAGAAAGCATTTCTGCAAGCTGCAAAGCCCTTTTCATGTTTTGGAAAATATGCATTTAATGTTAATTTAATGACCCTCATACACATGCTGTGAAATGTTTTTGTGAATATTTCAAAATTAAAATCTTTCCTGCACTAGTGTAATACTTCTGCTTTTCTTTAAAGCTTTGTTGGGGTTTGAGATGGCCTGGATTTGGAAAGATTTTTCCAAGTATTTAAACTATCAGCTAAAGTAAATGATGAATCCCGCCAAACTGGGTCTCAAATTTTGCTTCTCTTCTCAGTCCATGAGGAAAAACAATGTCAAGGGCCCTTTTGTTGACTTTTGAAGACAGCAGAAGGACTCCAGCTGCTTTCCTAGGCTTGGCATGAAACCTTCTGAGAGAACACGTCAAACTTGCTTGCCAGGCTCCAGAAGCATTTTCCCTGTGTTCATTGTACTTTGCTCCTTTGAATGGCTCAAGGGTAAAAAAAATACACAGATTTTAATTGTGAAGAAAATTTTTTCAATCACAAAGCCTTCTGTGAGACTCAACAAGTTACTCTGATTAGAAAGGGATTCTTGGTGCGTCTGTGTGTGCCGTGAGTATGTCACAAGCACAAATGGAGCAGGGCTTCTTCAGTTTTTAGCTTTCACATGAATTAATTTAACTTATGAATTCAGAAAGCAAAATAGATGTAATCAACAAAAGTATGAGAAGTAACTGTAAGATTTGTCCTCATGAAGCTCCTTACCACAGTAAAGAAACTTAAATCTTTAGATACTTTAATGTAAAAAAATCAGTCATTCCTGTCTTTTAAAGTAAGATTTCAACTTCAATCAACAAATAAACCTGTATTTACTCATTTAAATCCAGTCCTTATCTAGTCATTCGAATATGGAATTTCAGACAAAGGAAAGCTGAGAAACTAATCATTTTTGTATTTGAGTAAGTAAAAGGTTATTGATCAATGTCTTTTTAAGCTTTCTATTTAATATTATTTTCAAGTTAGAATGAAGGAAAGAAATTTCAAGCGAAAATAATTATTCTATGAAAACGTTAAGAGTTTTTTTAAAAAAGAATATTAAGACCGAATATAATAATTCAACTTTAGTACAGAAAATTGAATAATATAGCTTGCAGTGGGCCAAGTGTAGATAACAATAAAGGATTTTTCAGCATTTGGATTTTGTTTTTAGCTATGCTGACATACAAGTAATAAAGAAGATTTAAAATTGAAAGTATGTTTGTATGATATCAATTAATTTTTCTTAATATAGCTCTCTAATTCATGTATTTACAGTTAATATTATTGTCAGCTGTAGATAAAAAAAGCTTAAGAAAATATATTTATTTTGTATATTTTAGGATTCTGGCTATTACAACTATCACTACATGCGAATACCTTTTAGGTCTTCTAGAATCTCAAAAATCCTTCCTCCAACATTAATCTCATACATACTCAGAAAATCTTAGATCTTAGAAAAGAAATGAGGATGATGTAAATAGAATACTATTTACAGGTTTCAAGTTTGGGAATATTTTTCATGCTCCCTTTCCAATCATCATCCAAAGCTGAATAATATGAAAAGTTTGTTTCTTTGCATGATCTAACCCATATTTCATTGATGGTTATTTATATAGCTCATAATTTTTTTCTCTGATATTTGTCTCTAACATTTTTCCGATCTGCATGATCTGTTTCATCTCCTCTTTACCTGACTTCCTCTGCAGTCTCGCTTTTTCCTCTCCTGAGGTTGTTTCTTTAATTTAATATCGCTATCTTTTAAAACTTCATTTCACCCTTAATCCCTTTTTGAGACTCAAAGCACCAGGTCTATTCACCTGGTGTGTGGCTAATTCATGTACCTTGAAAGGGCAGTGAAGATGACAGGCATATCATGTTAGTTATTTAAATCCAATCTCCAAGACTGCTGAAACCAATGGGAGCATTTGCTTCAGCTCCACAGTGAACTCTCTCTGTAGAAGGTCTTAAATATGTTTGATTTGAAAGTCTTTATTAGACATCCTGCTTTGCAGAAACTCATTGATATATGTTTAACTGGAAGTTCAGATTTATAGTATATAGGTAAATAATGCCATTATACTGTTTAATATATATGATGTCATTATGTTGATAAAGGATTTGATGCTGCCAAGTGCATCAGCCCTGGTCCACTGATGTACTCTGTCACATCCTTCTTTTTAATCGTGAGTCATTTTAATGGATTTCAGAGAGTTGCCTATATCCTTTAAGTTAAGTAAATGCTTAAGTGTGTTTCTGGATTAGGACCAGAGGACTCAGCACCTTGGAAGATTAAATAAAAAGCAAAGAATCAGCAATACTGGCAGAGAGAGGCTTGCTGAGTTTACCCATAAGTCTTAAACCAAGGCTGATTTCACTCTGGATTGGAAAATCTACTCCTGGTCAATTCTCTGCCAGTTCGTGGTGCGGACACAGATCCCTCCAACCAGCTGTGGGTTACCTGAATGTCAATCTTACTATTTGAAAAACCACGTCAACTGCATGAAAGCAGCCTGAAACAAATGTATTAATAATTAACTGGCTATGTTTGTGATATTTTACAGCCTCTGTAAACTATTTTGCAGTTTCTAAATAAGAAAAAAGTCAAATTGCCACTTTCACTTTTTTTTTCACAGACATTTGCCCTATCAGAATCCTGTCCATTTATGTTTATCAGCTGAAAATCTGTATGCAAACTTCTAAGAGGTTAAGCGAAGCTACTTCCTGCAATTTAGAACATGTCTACAAACAGATATTGCAGCTCAGCTCACAAACCATGAGTTGATTGTTCTTTAAGTTCCAGCATTTATAAACTGAAAATTTCCCATCTTGAAGTTGGAATTAAATTGTCAAATAATTTGGGGACCTTGGAAATATCTTTCTGCGTGATCTGTTTCTGAAGAATAAAAAAAATCATGTTTGTCTTTGTAAAATGAAAAATTGAAGGAAGTATTTAAATATCTGAAAACAATATTGCACATTTTGCATGTGTGTTTTATGTTCTCCATTAGGTACCTCAGGATGAATGGGGAGGATACCCAGCTGGTGGGAAAGACGAAGAGATCCCCTGCAGAAGAATGAGAAGTGGGAGCTATATTAAGGCCATGGGAGATGAAGAAAGTGGAGACTCTGATACTAGCCCCAAGACATCACCAAAATTAACGGTTCGACCAGAGTCATTATTAAAATCCATTGGACAAAGACCACTGGGAGATCATCAAAAGTAAGTTTCACACTACCATGTAATACACCTTTCTGGAAGTTGCCGTGACTTGAGTAATTTTTCTTTGTGTCTTACTGGTCGTGGTCGGTAGTTATGAGAAGATATGATGCTGTAGTTAAAAGCTAACTTTTGTGTTTTCGTTTTAAATTAGCTACAGTTTCTTGTGATTACTAGATTAAAAACTTCCTCCGTCTTCCTCCATCCATGTAACAAACCTGCTACTTCAGAAAAAGTTATGTTTACTGAAGGAAATATATCCATATTTTGATCAAAAGTTTAAAATTCTGAATATTTCTTCTCTAGAAGGATTATTTTATATTATAAATCATATTTGTTATTTCATTGCTTTCTCTGAAACAGAAAATACGCTATTCTATGCTAGGTATAATAACACATATATAATTGTATCATCTATTTGTCATCTTAAGCGTTTTTTTATCTGAAAAATTATGTATCAGCTATACTGTATCATACTAATTTAAACACATTGTAGAGAAATTTGTTTGACTGGTTTGTTTTTTTTTCATTCATTCTACCTACAATATGGCCTATTATATAACTAAAGCAAATTTTAAAACTATAAGAAAATATGTAGGTCTATGTTTTCCAGTAGATCTTTATTTTTCTCTCCTTTTTATCCTTTCAATATGTCGTTTTATACCTAAACCATTAAGTATACTTCTGAAGACAGTTCCAAAGTAGTAGCTTAATTTCAAATCTACAGCTTCTATTAATGTTACTGGGTGTTTCTCATGGCTTAGAAAATTGATCTTTTTGCCTGGGAGAAATACATAAAATGAAGAAATTAAGAGTAAAACCTTGATCAAAGGTTGTTCATTGTTCTGTAGGTAATACCATATATAGTACACAATAGTGACTCACCTTTTCATAAAATAAAATAAAACTAACCAAAAACCTTAGGCAAAAATCCTACCCACTTAATTAAATTGAATTATTTAGTTTGTAATCTGGAAGAAAACCATTAGCTTTCACTATTACTGAAGAGAACAGTTTACAACTATATTGTTTCATATAGCTTACTCGCACGTCTCTGTAGGCGCAATTCAGATGCATCTGTACCAGGAGCTGCTATAAGATTTCTGAGATACCATGAAATAAGACTGGCAGGTCTCTCTCTTTTTGGCAACCAAAATCCAGGCAAGATACCTGATGGCATTTGAAAAGGTGCCAGAAATCTATGTTTAGGCAACTGAGCCAAATTGTGAAGGTGAATCTGAAGGATTTGCTAGAATATTAGTTCCAATGATGAAAACATGGCCTATAACGTAAGTATTGCTGACAGACCTGCACCTGGCTGATTTCCAAAGATGAAAAGATGAGCTCTTAATGACAGTGGTTGGAAGCAACATTTGAATTTCTGATATCCTCAGTCATTGTGTCTAGGTTGAATTTTGGGTTTGTGGCATGCTGGCTACATCGACTGGTTCAGTCTGAATTTGTGAAAGTCCCCAGGAAACAAAAAAGATGGTTAATTTTCAGTTTGTGAGTACGTGTCAGTCGGATTAGAGGTCTTTGAGGATGAGCAGCCCATAACTTCTCAGCCGTGGTGGAGATATATGTTGTGAATTCTTCAGTCTTGGATTTTCTTGTAAATGGCTTTGAAAGCTATGGGTCCTGCAAAAGGGCAATTATCCTTGTGGAACAAGATGTGCTAAGGGAGAGTAAGCTAACATCTGTGGCTTGTTAAGAGTGACCCTTCTGAAAGCAACAGGGAAAG